AGGGAAGAACCAATCTCTGCCGTTGCATGTCCATCAGACGGTCAATTCCCTTCCATGTGTCAACACATCAGCTTTTGCTTATTCGTCCTTGAACCGGAAAACACGCTCGATTTTTTCATTTTATTTTATTTATATATTTATTTTTTGTGACCGTTCCTTCCTATAATTAAGAAGGTTTTATTAATTTTCAATCAACCGAACAATCTACTAAAAGAGGAAGGTAAACACCACCGCTCACATGCACAACACATAACATAACAAATCACAAATACTAATGATTCTCTTATATCAACAACGCGTTACGTTTGATAAGACCCCTTTGATGCAATTTTTTCCTAAAAAGTTAATAGTTATAAATTTTATGTATATATATTTTTTCAATCAATTATATTTTATCACTTTAATCTTTCATGTCAATAATCACATTATATAAAAATATTTTATTATATATAAATTAAATATTTGATACAAAATTAAATTTTAATATAATAATATATTTTTATGTCATGTGAAAATTAGTGTGATATTTTTTTGCTTAATTTTAAATATAAATTAATTTTGCAAATAAATTAAAAAAAAAAATTTTGAAGCACCATGAGCCGAAGTGAAGAAAAAAAAATTTAAGTACTAAAGTCAAAAAATGACCACACATAAATGGGACAAAATGTAAGCTACTATTTTTTTTTTTAAAGATATTTGACCTAATATCATTTGATTATTTATTAATTATTTTAACAACAAAACCAATCGTGAACAAGCAGTGGCGGAGCCACAGAGGGTCTAAGGGGTCACGTGTCCTCATGAATTTTGGAATATATTTCTTTTTTTGGCAAATATAAAGAAAATATTTTAAATAAAAAAATTATAAAATATTATTTAGAGTGAAATATCAACGATATTTTTAAAATTATAAAAATAATAATAGTTATTTTTTATTGAAAATAAAGATATTAAGATAAGTCATATTATTATTTATGAAATTTTCAATACAATAGTGATGTCTATCATTATTGACATAAACTTATAATTAATCTCAATGAAGATATAGAATTTATTGAATTGTTAGTTACATTTGACATGTGAGATTCATCCTCTATGTGTTTCTTGACTATTGATTGGTAATATTATATGTCAATGATGACGTAGTATTACTATTATATTGAATTTTTATTGAAATTTTGTATAAAAAATTATTTTATCATTATATAATTTATTTTAAAACTTATATCCATGACTTTTTTTTATATTGTCCATGATATACTAGTTATAAATAATATATATATATATATATATATCTTTCTTGAAGTCAATCATAAAAATTTATGTAAAATATTTTTTGTAAAATTTTTTAATGTTATAATTAATAAGTGTCTCCTCCAATTTAATTTCTTAACTCCACCACTATGAACAAGTATGTAAATGGTTTACAAAATATATAATATTTTTTTTATAAAAATCTCTAATGCCATTCAAAGATAATTAATTATTTTTAACTTATATAAGTTATTTTAATTTCATAAATTATAAATAAGAACTATACAAAATATATATGCATATATTTTTCCTTAATATAATTTTTTTTTAAATCCAACAAATTGCACTAAACATAATGGGAGGATGATAAGGGTCGCTGCGATGATTAGTGTCGCATGTCGGTGATATGTTATCACTGGTTAGCAATTAAGTTTTTAAATTGAATTAAAATTAACAAAAATTCTAGGGTGTGTAAATAAATAAAGCTGTCTTTTCCCGTATTTTAGGGTTAACGCCTCGTATTCCACCTTAATTCTCTTGGGTAATTATTATAACTTTGACTTTATTTACCATCATAGTTTGTTTCAGAATATAAAAAGTTGCTTAAAAGTTGTTTAGGGGTCAACACTTTGGACAGTAACAGAACTGATGTAACACACATATATGAGAGAGAGAGAGAGAGAGAGAGACCCAAAAACATATGTTTGGCCCTAATATCAAAGGGTACTCCTAAGTCTTTACGAGCCAGCTCAATTATATGCAAATTCTTCAATGGTCTGACACTGCTTACTCAAAATAGTTCTAAATTTGGCACAAAATCATAGGTTGCATGTGAAGTGTTCTAATTTATTTTTTTTTTTAAATTGTTAATCCTGTATGAAGAGTTAAAGATTCATGATTGTACAAAAATAAAAGTCAAAAAGATGGCTAAAGTATTTTGGAAAGGATTAGTTATACAAACTTGTAAGTTGTAACTAAAGATATATTTGAAAGCTCCATGTGAGTGATTTGGAATTTGAAACATTGTGAACAAATGGCGATGGCATTTGTTGTGTTTATTATTTGAAAAAAATAAAATTATAACAAAATGTCTATGTGTGTAGAAAAAATTAGATACCAAATATACAAATGTGAAATAAAAAATAACATTTATTTTTTAGGTGTCAATCTTTTTAAAAACATTTTCGATGATTATTGGACACTAAAAACAAACATTTAAAAGAGTAAAATGAAAATGACTCAAATAATCAATTTAAAATCTGTGTAGAGCCCATCAAAACAAAATTTTGAAATCCAGTCCACTCTTCCAACTGGAAAGGAGTTTGACCTTATTGATACCCCATTTTCGTCGATATAATGTGTTGGATTGGCTTCCCTTCATATCTTATCTTTTTATATCGGGGTTAATTTTAAACTCGTATTGATAATTTAAACTCATTGTAAGAAAAAATACTTTTGGCGATCACCTATTTTTTTTTGTCGCAAATAGTCTATTTTTTGTGACTAAAATTTAACTTTTGGCGACCACAAGGTTTTGGTCGCAGAAAATCACCTTTTGGTGACTAAAAAAAAAGTTGGTAGCGGAAAGTATACCTATTGGAGACCAAAGGCTTTTTTGGTCGCGGAAGATTACCCTTTGGCGACCAAAAAAAAAAAGTTGGTCGCGAAAAGTATACTATTGGCGACCAAAGACTTTTTTGGTTACGGAAGATCACCCTTTGGCGACCAAAAAAAAAAGTTGGTCGCAGAAAGTTATGGCGGGATAAATTTTAAAAAAAAGGATACTACTGTAATTACATGCTATTTTTCTGTTTAGGCATTAAAAGTTTTATAAAATAATATATAACTCAATTTTTATGGGTTATATATTTTTTTTGCCGAATATGAACAAGAAGCATGTTATTGGTAGAGTGGATTGGGTGCATGGTGAGTCCTTGGTTAGGAGTTCAAGTCCCAGGCAACAGCACAAAAAAATTATTTTTTTTGGGTCAAGGCGCTAACTTTTGGCAACCAACTTATCTTTGGTCGCTAAAAGTTTATCACAGAAAGTTATGGCGGGATAAATTTTAAAAAAAAGGATACTACTGTAATTACATGCTATTTTTCTGTTTAGGCATTAAAAGTTTTATAAAATAATATATAACTCAATTTTTATGGGTTATATATTTTTTTTGCCGAATATGAACAAGACGCATGTTATTGGTAGAGTGGATTGGGTGCATGGTGAGTCCTTGGCTAGGAGTTCAAGTCCTAGGCAGCACAAAAGAATTATTTTTTTTGGGTCAAGGCGCTGACTTTTGGCGACCAACTTATCTTTGGTCGCTAATATGAATTGGACTTTTCGCGATCAAAAAAGTTGGTCGCGAATGGTCACTTTTAGTGACCAAAGGTTTTTTTGGTTGCAGAAAATTATCTGTGATGAGGCTTTACCGACCAACTCGCGACCAATATACTTTGGTCGCGAAAAGATTTTAGCGACCAAATATGGTACTTTTCGCGACCAAAATGTTGGTCACGAAAAGTGTTTTTTCTTGTAGTGACTGTCTATCTTGTATTTTTTGTAATAGAGGTCATTCATATAAAAAATGAATTTTATCGGACATTTATAAACATAAGAAAAAAATCATATTTTGTTTTATAAAATAAATGACAAATGTGATTGGAAACTTAAACTATTCATTTTTTAAAATAAAATGTTATTTATTCATATATTTATAGTTGTTCGATGAAATTAATTTTTTTACATGAATAACCTTTATTATGATGTCTACAAAATAGACGATTCGGATCATCGATACAAGTTTAGAATTGAACCCTATAAGAGAAGTATGAGGAGATATAGCAATTTACATGGTTGATTTTTATTACATCAGAGAAATAAAGAATTGCGCACTACAACAAGTTACACTTTTGGTAACTAAATTTTTAATCGCCAAAAGTCATTTTTTTAGTCGCCAAAGATTTTTGTCGATTGAAATTCTTGGTCTCCCATTTGGTCATTGACTGACTGTCGGCAAAAAAATTGGCGACTAATTTTTTTAGAGTCGCCAATTAGCGACTAAAAATTTAGTCGCCCAAAAGAAAACATTTAGTCGCAAAAAAAAATATTCATCTTCAGCTTTTTAGTTACCAATTTTTTAGTTGCTAAAAACTTCACTCCTTTTTCGCTATCAATTTTTTAGTCGCTAAAATTATGATACTCCATTTTAACTACTAATTTTTTAGTCACCAAAAACTTTTTTTTTTTTTTTGGCTACTAACTGTTTTGTCCCCAATAAGTTCCTTTTTTATTTTTTGGTTACTAAGGCCTCGTTTGAGAAAAGGCTAATTTAGTAACTTTTTGGCTATTTGGCTAAAAAGGTAGGTAAAAAAAACTTATATGTTTGGGATGACTTTTTGGCTAATTACGAAAAGATGTGCAAAAAGTAGAGAGAAAAGAGAATCTTTGACTTTTTGGTATGTGTTGATGGCTTTTTGGCTAATTTAGTAACTTTTTGGCTAATTAGCTAAAATAGCCTCTTGCCAAACGAGGCCTAAATGTTTAGTCGCCAAAAGCTCTACTTATTAATTTTTTTTAAAATGCACAAAATGAATATTTTTCATTAATTTTTAAATTATATGCATTCAATTATCAATGCAACCTGTAACCTGTACATATATAGAATAATACATCTATCAATTATAATCTAAATCCATTATCAATAACACCCATTTCATTATCAACTATCTAAAAATTTTAACTTGTAATATCTTATTCCAAGTATCATATAAATTCATTCCAACCAAGTATAATACATTTAAATTAAATATTACATACAAAAACACTGTATTTTTAAAACAGAGAATTGTACAAAAATAGATGGCTTCCATATACATAACAAATGCTTTTCGTACACAAAAATAAATATCCACAATAGCCCACGCAAAAACAATCTGTTTAAAAAAAAAAAAACTTATTCAATAAAATTGACATTTCGAATTATAACAATTATAAAATTAATAATTCTGATATATTATACTCTGCAAATTATAACAATTATGACAATTTAGTAGCGGACAATTATAACAATTAATAAATTAGGACAACACTGGAGTAATTTAATAATTATTAGAATGTTATCTGTGGGATTCACAATGAAAATCAAGCAACTAGAATATTTACTATATGATTCTCCATTGAATTGAAAGAGTGCATTCTCCATTGAAAGAGCTCATTCTCCACTAAAATGAAAGAGCACATAGATATATATACACACACAAACATCTATTCAAAAGATAGAATATAATAAGCTGTAAATTAACCTGAGCAAGGTCGCCAGTGGCATAGTCACAGAATAGCGAATAACCATTTGGCTAGAGAAAAAAAAGTTGAAATCACATTAAGAGATCATAATAGTAATATCAATTACAGATTTTCAAAATTTCATAGTGGCATTTACTAATCATTACCTTTAGAACTTTTCTGATATTTGGCAACACCAGTGGCATCGTCTCAGGGGACACAGCAGACAACACGAATATCTACTTAAAAACTCAGCTAGGTAACAAAAAACATTACAGGAAAAGCAAGTAAACTCAAGATCTGAAGCAAATGCTAAATGAAGCACTCCTACAAGAGGAAAGCACTTAGCATCAATAAGTTGAACAAAATGAGGATGTTGTCACAGCATACATGTCATACGCTCATTCTTAGTCTTATAGAATGAGTCTTATGTTTATATAAATAGATATCTCCAACTTCAAAATTATCTACACACAACTCATCCTCATCACCACTATCATCTACTACATTCAGAAATGGTGGGAACAGTTACAGACTCTGCTAGTATTGCTTCTTTAGCAGATTAAATCAAAAATAAATTCGGAAAGTTCAACATATTGGTAAGATTGGAAACAAACTAAATTGATTGAAACTAATTTTATCTATATCTATCTAATGGGTAATTGTTTACTAACATGTATGGATGTAAATTCTTGGTAGATGAACAATGCAGGGGTCAGCGGAGTCATAATGGATGCGGAGTCTTTTACTAGTTTAAAGCTTAAGTCTGGAGAGGTATGTCGTTTACCTATGAAATAGTAGAAGGGTGTCTACGAACAAATTACTACGGACCTAAACAGCTATCTCAAGCTCTCATTCCACTTCTTTGGCTCTCTAGTTCTGCAAGAATTATTAATGTCTCACCCGGTTTGGGGCAGCTAAAGGTAAAAAACTTTCCCTCAAAGGCTGGTTAAACTGTGCTATAAATTTAGCCTGTGACGTATAACCAAATGTTTTTATGCAGTATGTTACAAATTAATGGACTCACAGAATAGAAAGTAGATGAGGTAGTGAGTCGGTATTTACAGGATGTTAAAGAAGACTTGTTAAGGCTGCTCTGTTCTCTCTGCTTATGTTGTCTCCAAAGCAACTCTTAACGCCTACACGAGGTTTTTAGCTAAAAAATTCCCAAATTTCGGCATAAATTCAGTTACTCCTGCCTTTTGTAAAACAGACATGAGCTTTAATAATGGACACTACACGGCTGAACAAGGTGCAAAAGGTCCTGTAAAGCTGGCTTTGACGGTTGGTGATGGTCCTTCTGACCTATTCTTCTTTCAGATGGAAGAAATGACCTTTTAGTATCTGTTAAGTGTTGAAATTGCCTATGAACCCAACTGGGATTAGCTCTACTTTGATGAGATGCATGTATCATCAACCTTCTAAGAATAAACAGTCCCCAAATTTATGATTTTTACAATGAACTTGAATTACAAGCATGTGTTGTATTTTGAAGAGAAAAAAAAATGCACCATTTTGAGGTATTGAAAAAATAATAACTCCCTTCGAAGCATGTGATGGATACAACATTCTTTCTTACATTCTCTAACACATAATTACATGAATGATAAAACCTTCACAGAATTGTAATACTTCAGAAAATAGATGCTCCAAATATAATTTTCCCAGTCAGTGCTTGAGAAACAATGGTGTATGTGTGTCTATTTGTCTAAAATTATCAACGATAAACAACTTACAGACAGAAAGTGTGATTTTAAGGAATGTGAATAAGTTTACCTCCAAGTGAAGATTTCTTGAGATACATACGTCTGTTTCAAACTTTAGAGTGGCTCCTTGCAGCATTTCGGTTCGTATAGCATCCCACAAAGTAGATTATTGACTGATTTCACAACAGATAATTGTAAGAAAAATAAATGAACTCGATTAGAAGGTCCTGATCATATAAACACTGTCAATAAAATGATAATCTACAAATATTATGCTACTTTCATAATACAATTTGTCAATTTCAACAGTAGAAGATATAAAATGCAATCAATATGCCATATTATTTGTTATTCCTCATTCGGTAATGAGAAAAAGATAATTTGATTTGTTCCAAACTAGATGGAGAGGAGTTTCTCACCAAAACAACAAACAGACCAACATTAAAGGTTGTGTACAATGTCTTCTCAAAACTGGGGTCTACATCTCCACCAGGAACATAACGAATGTAATAATCGAAATGGAAAACCCTAGAAATTGCAAGGGTCATCCGTCGATCCAAACCCTAGGCGCAGATTCAAATCGCAAAATAAAAAGAAATGAAGGAAGATAGAAACAGACAGAAGAACTTCTGAGAAAGAGTACCTTGAACTCGATCGAAACCCTAGGTGTAGATTCAAACTCGAAAACAAGAAGAAACAGAAAAAGAAACTTGAGAGAGAGAGAGAGAGAAAGAGAGAGAGAGAGAGAGAGAGAGAGAGAGCGTACCTTCAATCGAGTTCGAAAGAATTGGGATTGAGAGATTGAGAAGAACATGAAGGAGAAAGAAAACGAGATTGAGAGATTCAAACACACACAGAGAGAGAGAGAGAGCGTACCTTCACTCGAGTTCGAAAGAATTGAGATTGAGAAAAACATGAAGGAGAAAGAAAACGAGATTGAGAGATTCAGACCGAGACAGAGACAGATAGAGCGACAACGCGTGAGAAAGAGACAACAATCATATGTCCGTGAAGGGCTAGGGCAAATATAAGGAAAATGAGAAAATAAATAAAAGAAAATAACAAACGGCGACTAAATTCAGTCACTAAAAGTAGTAATTTGGTGACTAAAAATATTTTGGTCGTTAATTAATTTTATAAATCTGTCCAAAATTTGAAAGGTTTCTCTCCAAATATTTTAGTTTTTTAGCGACTGAAATTTCTTTTTGTCGTTGAAAATATGTTTTTGACGACCAAACTTTTGGTTGCAAAGATAAAAAATAATTTTTTATTTTACATTCGGCGACTAAATGGTGTTAGTAGCCAAAACCCAATATACAGCGACTAAAATATTTTTAGTCGCCAACAATCAATATATCCCGACTAAAAAAAATTAGTAGCTAAATATTGTACTTTTGCCGACTAAAAAAAATTTTAGTCAGCAATTCCATAACATTTGGAGACTAAATTTTTTTAGTCCCCAATTTTAATTGCCAAAGGTGCATTTTGTTGTAGTGGTGATTAACAAGCAAACAATTTTGAGCAACTATTTATTTTATTTGAGCATTCGATTCCCACACACACAAGATATTCAATTTTTATTATTTGATTCTATATCTATAGGTTAAAAATTCTTTATTCTTAAATCTATTTATTCTTAAGGTTCAAGGCATATTTAAATTTTTTAAAATACATGAATTTTCATATTATTATTCTTAAATCTATTTATTCTTATGGTTCGAGGCATATTTAAAAAAATTAAAACAGATGAATTTTTGCATTATAAATCAATAATTAAGACTGTATTTAGACTATTAAACAGAAAATTTTGAATGTAAAAAATTCAATGCCCTAAATCTATTACCCAGAGATAGTTGAAAATGCTTTTTACAAATATTTGCAATGACCTTTTTGTTGGACTTACCATTAAAAAAAAATGGCAAAAATAATTGGATCCACTTGGCATATAATTCAATGTGCCTGTTTGGTGCAGCTTAAAAGCTGCTTATTTCAGCTTTCAGCTTAATTTAAGCTATTTTGATGTGTTTGGTTTAGTTTAATAATGTAACTTATACCTTTTTGTAAGTCAGAAATCAGCTTATGTTCATAGTTATAAGTTATAAATTGTTAAGGCATAAGTTATAAGCATTTTCTCACAACACTACCAAACATGGCCAATGTACGACTCTAAAACAGCTGTGATGGAGACCCCAGTCTCCCAGCACCCTCAGCACCCCCCCCACACACACACACACGTGGGGGTTGGTCATTGAATCAAAAGACAAAAAAAAAAAAAAAAAAAAAATTAAAGCACTCCCACCACTTTCACATACACATGAGGGTTAGCCATTGGATAAAAAAAAACATATATAGACCAATCACACCCCACTAGGGAGGGGTTGAAGCTATATTGGACTCTAAAATCATGGTCAGAAGTGTGACATCTTGATTTGTAGTTAATTTGGCTAGTGTCGCAATTGGTCTTTTCGTTTATTTTATTTTATTTTATTACAATTTACTATTCAAAATCTGATCTAAAAAAAATTTACTATTCAAAAAAAAAAATGTGGTTATGTTTTAGTTTACTTTTCAAAAATAGTTTTATAAAAAAATTACAAAAAAATATAAACTAGTTTGATAAAAATAAATACTATAAAAATAATTTTACAATTTTAAAAATATTTCTACCTCAAAAAAAGATAAAATTATGTATAAATAATCAATATTTTTCATTTTTTCAACAAATTATTGTTTTGATATTTAGAAAAAAAAATTGAAAATGATTATGAAAAAAGCTAATCAAACATAGCCGTAATACTAAAAAATTGATATATTCTAAGAAATTTTCACTTTTTTTTTTTTTTTGGGTTATGAACAAAGTTTAGTGAACCATCATTTTTTTAAAAAAATTTATCATCAATTGAATTTTGCAAAGTAACCATCAAAATATATTTGAATTTTCCCAGTGTATGCAGAAGTACGGACCCGCGGACCGTACAACACCCATTGACAAAAAGAGAAATTAAATAAATAAATAAAAATTAGGCGTGGTGGTGACTAATAAAAAATTTATTACTGAAAAGTAATAATTTGTATAGCAATTTAACGGTCTTTTATTACTATTATTATATACATTACCTGAAAATTAATCTTTTAGGGGCCCGAGGCAAAAACCTCTTTTCTTTTCCTTTTGTATTATCATTAACCTTTGTTTAATCTTAATCCCACCTCTAATCCGACAATCAGTGAGGCATGGACTGTTATGATGTTTTCAATTCATTGGCTGAATTGCATTAACAAAGTCTTTTTGATGACCTTGGCATATATTTTTTGTAAGTCCACATTTGCACGATACTTTAGCATGTGATTAGCCGCTCACATGTTGATTATACTTTTGATTAAAATCAAGTTTTTAGGTAGTAGTTAGGTAAAATTTATAATTTATATTTTTTGTTTTAAAAATCATTACATATGATTATGTTTATTTGTAAGAAAATAAAAATAAAAAATATGTTTAATCTACACATTTTCAAAAAATAAGTAAGGAGGGATTATCGGATATAGTGGTTAAAGGTGGTTTTTAGTTGCTCGAGATGAAGGAACATGCTAGACAGGAATAGAATCAAGATTTTGTTATTGGAAGGGTTAAAGACAAATAAATTTTTTTCACCATATATACAATCTTACATGTATATACAATATGATATAGTAATCTCTAATAGAATAAGAAAAAATTGAATAGAAAATAAAAAGAGAATGTAAGTGTTAAGATTAGGGGCACCCAAAACTCAATCACACACATACAGAGAACACAGAATTTACGTGGTTCGGTAGAATGCCTATGTTTACGGAGTGGAAATCTCAAGTTTTCACTAAAATAAAGCAAATAAATAAAAACAAAACAGATTTTATTTTGTTACAAAAACAAAATTAAAATCTGAATAAATAAACAAAAAAACAACACTGAAAGTAATTAAATAACTTACTTGATTTAATTTCTTCGAATTATTTTTCTGATCCAGTCCAGTGTTTAACACTGTCTCCTTAAGACAGATTCGTCCTCTCCACGGTGCTTTCAGAATTCGGACGTCTATCTCCCAGGATGAAATGATCAACAATGATGAATAGTCTTGTGTGCTTCCTTCTAGTTGCTCAGGGAGTGTTCATCTTTGAGAACTCCTAGTATGGTTTTTTTTTTGTTTTGTTATTTTTGTTGTTGTTATGGTCTAATTACATTGCATTTCTTGGCGTTTTGAAAATTATATGTGACGAAGGATATATCCTTAGAGTTGGGAGTTAGAGTTGAAAATGTCATAAACTTAGTCGAAGAAAGGGGTTCGGGGGGCACCATTTTGCAAGAACTAAATGTGACGAAGGATATATCCTGTTGACCTAATCGTTTGGAAATTCGAACAATGGATTTGTAAAGTTCAGCTAAGGTTTAGGCGCAATTGTGTATTTGATAAGTTTAACTATCACCACTAAAAAATGTGCAACAACAGTTGAACAATACACAGTTTATATATATAACATGGCCTCAAGATTTGGCTGATGGGAGGATAATTACTCAGCAACAGAACATGGAACTTAGGACTAAAGAAGCCAAGTATTGAAGATACGTATCAAAATTAGATAGTAAGATGGAAGAATAGGTAAGCATAATCTTATATAGCTCTTGTCCCCATAAGCCTATAAAGAACCCAAGGCATTACTCATTCACAAACAGAAGCATATCTACATCTGTGGAATTTGATTCTCTCTTCCTTTCTCCATAGGTTAAAAACTAAAAGTAAATAAAAATAAAAAAACACAGAAAAAGAAACCAAGCCCTATGTAGTTCCCTTCACCCATGCACTGTGGTTTTCCTTGGTGGTTGGGACATGCCTTGAATCAATGCTGCAGGTGGCTTTGAAAGTACTGCTTTAGAGTCAGCTACTAACCTTGGGAGTTATTGATGTTATTATTAATAACAAACTAGGTGTTTACTTAATTAGATTGAACTTACTTAGCAGTGTGCTTTATTAATCTTCTCTGATGTATTAATATCTAT